GTCATGCAGGGAATTCTGGGAATATCAGTTTACAGTTTTTGACTGTAAATTATACATTGATTTGTTATTTTTACTTCTAAAAACTGTAAAATTAACAGCATTTTACTGTAAAATTACATGAAATGTCTGGTTAGATATTTTACCGTTTTTCCCTGTATATAGTACGGGAATTTACTGTTAACCTATTAACAGTTTTTTTCCGTAGCGTTTTTACAAACTTTTACAGTTAAAATTACGCTTATTTTTTACAGTGTAGAACCTGGGTTCTGTTGTACTCAACGTTCAAACATTACTGCTGGACCAACAAATTTTAATGTACAGATTTAATGTACAATTGCTGATTCATGTGTGACACAAAATACCGGAACAGACAGTGGTAGATGTGAGAGTGAAGGTATTGATATTTTAATAAATTATGTTAGAAAAATAACATTAATATTTATTACAGAAATCATATAATATGCTTAATAACAATAATAATAATAATAATAATTACTTTATTATTATTATTATTTTCAAAGCAGGATATTTTTTTGGAAACTGTAATACTTTTTTTTCAGGATTATTTTATGAATAGAAATTTCAAAAGAGCAGAATTTTTTTGAAATTGAAATAATTTGTACCATTATAAATGTCTTTACAGTCACTTTAGATCAATAAACATAATTTCTTCCTTTAAAAAAATAAAAATAAAACTTTTAAATGGTAGTATATATTTTATTAATAATATAGTACAGTACTCTTAAAATAATACTAGTTTAATTAATATATATATATATATATAATAAAATTACATAATTTATTTGAAGTACTTCTGTAAAATTGTGCAAGAACTATTGTGTAATGCGTTGTTTTTTGTTTATTGAACAGTTATACAGCAATCTTAATGTTATTGGTCACGTTTCAGTTTTACAGTAAGTGACTACTCTGCCACAAACCTGATTTCAAAATCATTATATCATTTTTAAATTATTTGCGCAAAGCCTAATTAATATTCATGAGCTAAGCCTTCTCCGTTTTATGACATCACAAACACTGTTTCCACCACATTGAACTGAATGACATCTCTGTTTAGTTAGACTGTTTCTTGTTTCTGTTGTGATGTACCGTCATTGACAGGTACATAATATCCAGCAGTGCTGTTTATTCATAACCGAATATTACCTGAGTGTTATGAGCTGGTTATGTAATATGGGAAAACTGAGAAACATAGAGAGCCTGTGTTTCCACAGTCATCAGTTATAATTCATTTCTGGCTTCTGTTTTCATATTCCACTCCACTGAGATGAATTGGAAGATTTAGCATTTGAGAGCTTTGTTTTGGTTTTTATTACTTGTTGTTGTTGTTTTGTGTATTCATTACATCAAGTGGTTTAATTTGGTCTGGTGTAATTTATCTCTGAAGAACCCCCCACTCGCGCCGCCTCGTATAAAGTGAAATTGATCATTATTTTACCAGCTGAGCAGCGAGCGAATGCACAAACACACAATTCAGGAACAATGAAAAATGGCCCTGGCAGCAATTAAGCTCACAGTGCAGCCGAGGTTTATAACGTTACATGCGGAGATGTGGGGGAATTTGTGAGGGGTTGCCAGATATATCTGGAAAAGTCCCTCCCCGTCCCCAGGGATCTCATTAACTCCTGTGTTTTCATCGACGGTGCACATCTGAGAGGCAGAGAGATGTATCGACTCTTTAATGAAGACTCCAGTCTCTGTAATCATGATGGTTTTTGCAGCATGCACACTCTTTAAGCCCAGAAGTGTGGCTGTATTATTTTTATATGTGTGTGTTATAATCGCAACCAGAAGAAAGGAGATAATGAGTGTTGTAATGCGTTCAGACGCATTGGCTGTGTAATCTCAGAATGGTGTTGTAAGGGTTTGGATCCTCACAAATTAAAGGTCGCTGGGGCTAAATGTGACTGAAATGACTGAAAATCTGTTCTGTGTAAACATTACTGTACCACAAAGTGTATGACCAAAAAAAGTATGTCTCCGAATAAAGTCATTTTACATCATGGGTAAAGTACTAGTTCATTTATTACATTTATATGTTCAGTGCAGTAAAAAGAGTTTATTGTGAATTATTGAGAATATTGTGAAATATTAGTACAATTTAAATGAACTGTTTTCAATTGTAAAATGTAATTTATTTCTGTGATGCAAAGCTGAATTTTCAGCATCATTACTCCAGTCTTCAGTGTCACATGATCTTTCAGAAATCAGTTTAATATGCTGATTTTCTGCTCAAGAAACATTTCTTATCAGTGTTGAAAAACTTTTGTGCTACATATTTTTTTTTAAACCATGAAACTTTTTTTTTCAGGATTAGAATAGAAATGGATGACTAGAAAGTTCAAAAGAACAGAATTTTTTTTTGTACCATTATAAGAGTCTGCATTATAAAATACTGTCACTTTTGATTGATTTAATGCATCCTTGCAGAATAAAAGTATTTATTTGTTAAAAAAATTAAAATAAAAATGACCCCAGATTTTTTTAATGGTAGTGTATATTGATGAAATTCAAGAAAAAAATATATTTATACATTACATACAGTGGTGGAAAGAGTATTGAAAAAATATACTCAAGTAAAAGTACCATTACCTTCCAAAAAATGTAGTGTGAGTAGAGTAAAAGTACTTGTCCAAAAAAACTACTTGAGTAAGAGTAAAAGAGTAGCCTATTTAAAAGTACTCATGAGTATTGAGTAGTGAGTACTGAGCTGTGGCTTCTACCCCCTCATAATAAATGCTGTACACTGCAATTTATATATTTTAAAAACGTTGTACATTCTGGAATTCACATTATCTTATTTGTCATAAAGAATGAAGAATATCTATCATCCAGCAGTTTTAATTTTGACTGCCAACTCTTTAAAATACATCAAAACAGCACGGAAACAGTATTCAGTCGAAGAAAAGATGAAAGTTATTCTCAGTACAATCATCCCCATTTAAATCATAAAGTTTGAAAAAAATTATTTAAAATCATGTGTAAGGCCACTGAGACAGCATGCTGTTGTTGCACATAAAATATTAATGTTTAGAACAGTGCAAATACAAACACCAGTCTCGGTGAATCAGCAGCATCCACAACTGAACGGAACAAAAAGTGTTGAACTTGAAAATTGTTTATGCGCGAGTGCATAAAATGGATTTAAAAAAAAAAAAGATTATTAACGAACTGCAGTTTTATTACATCACGCGCTGTAACTGTGGTAATGGCTGTTTTGGTGTAATTCAGTGAATTACTTTTAATACATTAAGAAATTAAAGGAACTGCAACTCAGATTGTTCGTTTATTATTTTTTGTATTTTTTTTTACTTGGATGCAAAAGATAATAAATGCAAAAACTACTAAAAAAAACAAAAAAAAAGCTTAAAGGCACAATATGTAAGATTGTAATATGTAATAAAATATCCAAAAACCACTTGCACAGTGTTATATATTTCATGCAGTTGTGTACTTGCGTTATTCCAGAAAATTCCCAAGGATTTGTAAATCCAGAGAAATTCCAGTTTTAAAAATTGGCTCGTCCCTGTTCCTCCATGGTCATGGTCGCCTATCAATGACGTAATATCTGCGCTATCCTCGGTTTTCGCTTGTAGAAACTACAAGTATGGACAAAAATGCCGCTGCACAGTTAAAATAAATCCATTACGGCCTTAAATATAAATGGGTTTTTTGTTTGTTTGTTTTTTTTTATTTTTTATTTATGTATTTATTTTTGTGTTTTTTGGACAAAAACACACTAAAGTAATATTCTGTTATCCCACCCAAATAGCCTTGAAGTTAAATCAGAAATAAAAACTTATTTTAGAGGCAGAGCATCTAAAAAGCGTTCCAGGATGCACTTCATGAAGTTGGCTGATTGAATCTCTAGACTCTAGAGTGAACAGATTTGGACAAAGAAACTTAAATGTGAGTTTTTTTTGTGGTTTGGTTTGTTTTTTGTTTAGTTTAGTCTTGGTTTGTTTTGTTTTTGGGTTGGTTTGTGTATTTTTGTTTTATTTATTTATTTATTGTTTTTGTGTGTTTTGTTTTTTTGTTTGTTTGTTTATTTTGTTTACTGCATCCTAATATTAATTTTTTCCCTGCACAAACAGCCTTGAAATGAAATCAGATATTAAAATTGATTTTAAAGGCATCTAATTTTGGCTCTTAGTATTATCAGATTAACAAATTATGAGCTAAAAGGAGTCAAATGTGCAACATACATATACACTTAATACAATTTAAAAGTATCCCAAGATTTAGTTTAGTTTTGGTTTGTTTTGTTTTTGTTTACATTTTTTTGCTTTGTTTTGTTTTGTTTACTACATCCTAATATTATTTTGTCCTGCCAAAACGGCTTTGAAATTAAATCAGAAATGAAAACTTATTTTAGAGGCAGAGCATCTAAAGCATCTCGGGGTGCATTTCATGAAGTTGGCTGATTGAATCTGTGAAGAAGAATCAGACAAAGACACTTAAATAAAAGATTGTTTTTTGTTTTGTTTTGTTTGTTTGTGTGTGTGTGTGTGTGTTTTGTTCACTACATAATTCCCATACTTCCATTTTTGTTATTACATAATTTTGAAGACTCTTATATTACTATTTTTATTTAACATTTTTCAGAATAATGAACTGTAGGCGTGCCAATTTTTGGCTACTCTTGACATCACAGCTACTGAAGGATTTCAGTATTTGTCCATGCTGCTATTACACCGCTCTGCTCTCTGAAATACTCAGTCAGTCATTCTGCAGTCAAAGCCAGAAATATAGCTATTGATTTTTATCCTCTGATTTGATTGCCTCGTGTAAAGTAGGCTATGATATTATTGGGTGACATTGTTTTTTCCCCACCCACGCAGCCTTGAAATAAGAACAGAAATTAAAACAAATTTTAGATGCAGAGAATGTCAAAGCCTCATACATTTTGCTAAAAGATTGTCACAATTTTTTTTTCATAATATCATCTACTGATCAATTTTGATGTCGTGGTCTAACCATGCGATACCGCTCTCAGTTTAAAGGCTTCGACCCGCAGCACCTGTGTGTCGCGACGCTGTTATTTGAAGGGGATCGTGGGAAGGTTTTGCAGCACGAGAAACAGGTTTACGACATCGCAGCCAAATTCGGGTAAGAAAGCGCTCATTTTTGTGTGTTCTTCTAATCTGTGCTGTTTCTATGCAGCCAGAGTTACTGTTTCACCAGTAAGGGTCGTGACCCCTGACTTTAACTGATCTCTCTGATTGTATAGAGAAGCACGAGCGTTTGTCTCTGTCTTTTCATCCTCCCTCATTCATCACGGCTCTTTCAGTGGCACTGATGGGTGTGTGAGGAGAAGAGTGAACAGATTGAATGATTTCTGCGTTGAAGCTTGATTTTGAGAATATTTAATTAGAGGCTGATTGTGATGGATAGAAGGGGAATCCCACAGCTGGCCTTATTGATCCACTGCTTCTGTGTGTGTGTGTGTGTGTGTGTGTGTGTGTGTGTGTGTGTGTGTGTGTGTGTGTCTGTGTCCATGCAGGAAATGTTCACCGGACCACAAACACCTCATGATTTTTCTTTTGCAACATTGACTGTGCTGATAATGTATATTTTCTCCTTCACTTCCCAGTGACCTGTACTCTGTTGTGTGACTGTGTGTGTGTGTGTGTGTGTGTGTGTGTGTGTGTGTGTGTGTGTGTGTGTGTGTTTT